AGAGAGAGAGAGAGAGAGAGAGAGAGAGAGAGAGAGAGAGAAAATGTATGTGTGCGTGTGTGTAATTAGCGTTACCAATTGCCAGTTTCCTTTGTCAACGTGTGGTCACGATTGTTTGTGATCACACGCGTTTCTTCGATTCATCATCTATATTGCTGTCATGCAAGTTTATTAAACATTAACGCGCGCACCACGGCAATGTGTAAACAAAAAATTTTTACCACACACAATCGCGAAGAATAATTATTGTATTTGAAAAAAAAAAAAAAAAAAAAAAAGAGAAAGAGAAATAACTGTAACACGATAATAATAACGGCGATAAATTTGTTGTATGATACGCGTTAGACTCGAAAATGAATAAAGACCACAAGTTTGACTGCATTTCCGTGCGCGCTGTGTAAAAATACGAAAGAGAACTGGCAAGGTGAGATGAATAAAACTGCCCCTCTCCCGTCGCCCTCCTCATCAATGTCGCGGCATTGCAACCATGCGAACACATTTGCCTATTTTTATATGCATAGAGTTGCACGGATTTGCATTAAATTATAATTTAAGTCTTGACGTTTTCGCGCGAAAGAACACGGGAGTTGCAATGCTTGCAAGATAGACGCGTTTTGCACCGCGCTTCGAATTTTCACGATCGCATTTCATTCCTATATACGTTTTTTTTTTTTTTTTATAATCCTCATTTCTTGGAACGAAGTTATTGTGAATTAATAATAAAACAAAACAATTTAGACACGATTGGCCATAATGTGAGAGACGTATGTTACGACAGGCGCACATGACTGTTGATGACATTATTATATACTTGAAATATGTTATGGAGAATAAATCGAATCTATACATAAAAGCTATGGAGATGTAGTTAATTAGACAAATGCATGAATACGAGTATAAACTAATATATATATATACACTAATATTGTTTAAGATAAGATGGGAGAGATATATCCAATTTAATCTCTTTTTTATATAAAAGTGTGTTATTTGTGTAGGTAGACATTTTTTAATAGTGCGGCGGTAAAACGAGGACTCCGTTTGTGTAGAAAATTACAGTCTGCTCATCCTGTTCACGCAATCCGCAAATTGTTCTGTAGTACTCGTGTAGTACTGTAAATAAAAGTGACAAATAGTATTGTTAAATAAAAAAAAAAGAAAAAAAAAGAAAAACAAAACCAAAAACGAGAACACATGTGTGTAGACCGGAATTGTTGGAATCGGCGCGATCGATCCCGAAATCTTCGCCGCGTTAAATCGCGCTCTCGCGTTGTGAGGGGGATAAGAGGCCGGGGAGGTAATATCACCGAGATTCTTCCGTCTGTTTCGTCCCAAGTTCTCCGTCGGACGGCAATGACATTAATGCCGCACGAGACAAGATAGGCAGGATGTGATCAATTCAGATCGGTCTCCGTGTGTGACTCACATTACACGCGCTTTAGCCTCCTCGCGTCCCGGTGTGATAAAAGGAGTAGGTAGTATAGTGGACCGCCAATCGGACAGTCCGCTGCGCTCCTCTGCGCTGCAACCCGCCGCGCACCGGGGTCTGTCGCGCGCGCACACGCGTGCGCCGCGCGGCCCGCTAAGGTCACACACACGTGGGGTTGACCTTAGCCCCCAATTTGCCAGACAGATTCGCTCGAGGAACTTCATCGTCGCGGCCTTTTGCATCGCGACAAATGAGCATCGCCAATTATGATAAGAGTCAGTCGTGGGCAGGTGTTCATGATCAGTGTGATAAGCGAAGATGCCAAATCGTTTCAGCAACTTATTGTTTAATCGCTACGAGAGACGTAGGATTCAAACTAATGGAACAGCATTGTAAACATCAATAAAACGTTAAAGCTAATTGAGATTTTGAAGTTCTATTTAATTTACGAAGAAAAGATTATTAATGAGAGATGATGAAAAACGATTATGTATAGTTTGTCTTCACTTGTTCTAGAAGAGAGTTGCAAATAATAGAACATTTTTAATGTGAAACGTACCGTTAGGCGCGATATAGCTTTTTTTTTTTTTTTAGATAGCTAGTTTTTCAACATGCGTCGAAGTTAATGAAAAACTTGGAACGTCGGTGACTAACAATACGCTGAATTCGACGTGTTTGAGCTTAATAATGAAAGCAACGGGCACCGCGAGAAAGAACCGCGTCCCTGATTGAGATATGTGTGTGTATTGCAACACACGATGTCAATGAATCATCATTGACATAATATGTACGCACCTGCAACCGCTGCTCCAGCCACGTCATAATAGCGTTGGCACGGTACGTTATGGTGCATCCGCAACCGGGCATTCTTCGAGTCAACGGGAAACGGACAATTTTGTCGGCGCTAAATATGCCCGAGCGCGTCGATTGTTCGAATATCGATTTAGATAGGCGTGATTCTCGTACAGAATGTCGAAACAAGATTATACCGTCAATGAAACTTATATATATACCGAGAGACCGCGGAAGGATGTGACACTAACTTTAAAATTTAAAAGAAAATTTAAAAAGATTTATATTTAAAAAATCTGTTTTCAAAAACACAGAGGAAGTTGTTTTTCTACTATCTCTTTCTCGCTGATGATTCAGGAAAACATTGGCTGTGTCACTTGTTATGTATAGCTTACTAGTAGTTTTAAAATTACTCGCAACGGTGTGACATTTTTTAATTCAAAGTTCGAAGAATACAAACCTTCTTTGCGAAACGCATAATGTATGCACAAATGTAAACAAAACCTGGGCCCTATAGAAAACTGGGTCCGAACCTGCGGTCAAGGTGGGGCAGTGAGTAAAGATATATGGTGACGAAGAGAAGAACGTGGAGGAGGGAGTGAGAGAAGAGGAGGAAGGTCGCAACGCGCTCGGGTGCGTTTAGTCAACCTGGTGGCGCCGGAGAACCAACTGTTGGCGGAGCAAACTCGTCGCGTCGGAATTGCGGATTGTTGGAGTAGAAGGAAAGGGAATAAGAAAGAAAAACAGAAACATAAAAAAAGCGACTCGCGCGATCCGACAACACGGCGACCGATCCCAAGTTATCTTATTGTTAGTGGGCTAGTGTCGGGATTTCCCAATTGTGTGTTTCAAGTAAACACGCGGCGGGCGGGTGCGCGCGTTCTGTGAACTGTATACGAAATCGCAACAGGTCGTTAAAACAGGTGGTACACAATGGTGACCAAAGATCCGAAGATGGTTACCGCCATGGAGTTGATGAACCCGTACGAGAAACCGCCTAGCATGTCGGCCAGTCAAACTATGAGGACCTTTCTGTACAATCGTGAGACCGGCGCATTCATGGGCAGGACCGCTAGTAGCTGGGGTAAGCACAGTGTTGCCGGCTTTAGAGTTATGGCTTGTGGAAGAAATTGTACAAGTGTGTCTACACAGTAAAGTTATAATATAGTTAGTAAACCACTCACACACACACACTCTTTCTCTCTTTCTCCTTCTCTTCTATGTCTCCATCTTTTTTCCGTTTTTTATTTACCTTTTTATATCTAGACACGTCTTTTACATATTAACATATTTCACTGTTGTATTTTATATTGCAATTTAAATCTTGACCTTAAGCAAAACATCTCCAAAACTTTTTTATATACACATAAGACGTAATATATCGTTGGTCAAGACAATTATCAACTTCCTCGAGTTAAGGTTTATCAAAAAAACGAACCAAAAACTTAAGAAAACACGCATAGAAAGAGAGAAAGAGAGAAAGAGTGGGAGGGAAGAAGAAAGAGAGGGAGAGAGAGAAAGGCAGAGAGACTAACTCTCTGACGCAGACAGACAGTAAACAGAGATCGGTTTATTCGTCATATACGTGTGTTTTCCGTAGAAAAACACTACACTTTAATTTGTCGGCATCGAACGCGATCGATTCGCACCAATTACTTAACGATGCCGTCACTTGACAAAGCATGAGAACACATCGCGGTATCACAATCGTTCCGATACTTTACTTGAATACTAATGTTACAAATATATATATCGATCATTTTATTCCGATATCTAATCTCTTTGGGAATAGTTTTGAAAGACGCGCGTTTGCGTACACGGAAAAAGAGAAAAAAAATGTGAGAAAGATACGTTTTCAAATGCATGTTGAGGAAAATATCGCGTACAGGGCGTGTCAGATGTCACCATCAATAAAATCGTAACTTTTTTAACGAATTTAGAAATTTCTTCAAATGAAATTTCTTTAAAATGCAATCACGCCAATAACGTGTTTCAAATTCAAATGTTTTTCCAAAAACATCTTCGAAAAAATTACACAATAATTGTCGAAATTAATGTGTGACGAATATTATAAACATATAATTTTGTTTATATCTTTACACATGTTTTCACAATAAATAAACTACGTATATTAATTGTTACATCGACCTAGTCGATTCAAAAATTTCAGAAGCGAAGAAAACGCGCGTGTGTGACACTTTCCGCTTTTTCCTCAAGCATGCGGCAAATTTCACCTGGCTTTGTTGAATCAGTCCTAACATAATTATTCCGAGTAAAGTTGTGTGTGCACCCACAAAACTAACCAAAACACCAAAAGCAAAATAGCTTTCTCGCGCAAATTTTTCAAATTTTTCTTGTTCTCTAATGGACGCTAACAAGTGACATTATCGGCTTGACATTAGCGGCACATTAGAGCAAAACGGAATGAACTACTAAAAGACGTCCTAATCATCTCTGCATGTATCGCCGTGGCTTAGCTAATGATTAATCGCGGTGACTCACCACTAATTAACGCACTTATATTCTTGGCACGCGATAGTGTCAGTGACCAAGGTGTCTGCGCTATCGCGTATAATTATCTATTTAATTGCACACAAATTTTCTTATACGTCGCCTCGCGACACTGTTCCCTGAAAACCCTCCTATCTGAGAGAGAGAGAGAGAGAGAGAGAGAGAGAGAGAAACAAAAACGAGGAGAAACAAAACGTTCGAAAAAAAACATCGATAGAACTTCGCTCGGTGAGGAGTCAATTAATTAGTCCTATCAGGTAACGTCGGCCAGGTTCTTTTCTGTACTTTATCCTACCTTCCCGGAATGTGTTTGCGATTGTCGCTATGACGACCCGACAAATTATTACTCGCGTCACGTGCTTTTTGCGTGTGTGTAACGAACCCTTCTCTCATATATATCCCCACAAAACGCTTAGGGTTTTATATTTTACACGAAAAATAATCTCTCAAATTGTTGCAACCACTCTCTGAAAAGATCCACGATGAATCAAATGCATTTCGCACGTATACACACGCGTTTAATTTGATGTCCGGTGCGTCCGCACTCGTAGATATACATGTATATTTTACGACACCAATTTAGCGATTATTTTCATAGTCCTCCGCGAGTGTATATATATGCGCAACAGTTAAAAAAAACCCACGCCGTGCGATTATGCAAATCGAACGATATCCTTTTTCAAACGGAATTGGAGAAAAATTTTATCGCGCTCGAGACAAATTTTATAAATGCGCTAGAAGTCGTTTCAGTCTATCGGGTATTTGCAAGAGCGCAAAGAATTAGAATGTTCGGTTATATATTCGGTTTTTTCTTTCTCTTCGTTTCTGATAAACACGTTGTGTGTATCTGATCTCTGTGTCGGCGAAGCAAAGCAACGAACGAACAAACAAATGCTGTTCGAGCCTCGGAAGATCCTGAAAGACCGAGACACTGACGAGAACAAATCGAAATTTGTGAAAAGACCAGACAAATATGTGTTCAAATTGTTTAAGGTAAATTTAACATCTTGAACACGAAAAATAAGAAGCAGATATGGAAGACGAATTGTAAATTGCGAGTAAAAAACATATTAGAGTAAAAAAATTCGACGTATCGTTTATCGAAGCTTGTTGTTCATGAGTGAATAATTTGTAACGTGCGCGAATGAATCTCTGCGCGTGATAGGCGGCAATCTCCGGCCGATCTTCGATCGGGCTCATCATCCGTTTCCTCATCGCAGCCAACAGAAGACTTGCAACAACGTCAACTGTGTGTATTGATTCGCAAAATTGTTCCTGTTTAATTGGCTCAGAAGCCTGCGCATGTGGCATTGAACTTTCAAGTTAACTTTAAAGGTTTGAAAAACACTTGCTGACTTGTTGTTACTCGCGATACAATTAACCTTGACACACAGTCGAGATGTGAAAATCTCGGTTACGGTACGCGTTTACAACATCGCGACGATTTAGGTTTTTTCTTCTTGATTACAGAAAATAGACACTTGTAATGTGTTTTTTAACGCGAGAAAATAAAAACCAAAGTTGCGAACGTGTCTATGAAGAGATTCTTCGTCGACGCGCTTCCGATATTCCGTCGGCGTGAAGTCTGTACCGAATGGTATTATTGTCGTCGTCGTCGTCGTTGTCGTTTTTTACGTTATCAATGAATTTGTTACGCGTTATCTGGAACGGTGACAGTCGAGAGAAGAGTACGATATGGAAGTAAGAAGAGAGAAACACAGACGGAAGCGTGAAGCCCGTTTGATTCGCGGTGCACACACAACGGTTTGCCCGGTTGAATGGCAATTGTTAAACTTCCTTTAGCGCAAACGTGTATAACGAGGTCAATTGGCGTTAAACGGCGGCATTACAGCATTACGTAACTTAGGGCCATTCCGAAGGGTACACCCACGCGCGAGTAAAGCCGCTATCTTTCGTTCTCAGTTACAATTCACCTGAGATCGTCCGAATCTCATGGAAGTCGACAATATATATATATACAATATATATACAGTTGTCAGAGTTGAGGTTCATTACAAGAAACACGGACGTAGATATATTTACGTTCGAGATACTTGGTGAGATTTACCATTTGAAAAATTTGCTTCGCCGAGCGCTCTTTGCTTTTATTGTTCTCGATCGAGATTTTGATGTACTCTTATCATCGAAGTACAGCACTCACAGTTATAATATATACAAATAATAGTTTATACTTTAATGTTTTTATTTTATAAACGTTTTATTGTACTTTACTTACGTGAAAATAAGATAGTTTCAGTTAACGTTACTTTCTGATCGGTTTCTTTTGTGGAAGAGATGTCGGGGATGTTTTGCAATATCCAAAGTAGTTCCTTTCCGTTGAGAAAAAACTTGAAGTAAATGCAGGAAGCTCGAAACTATATCGCCGTCTCCCATAATATACTCGTTGTCACGTGGAAAATTTCACTGGAAATATGCCAAAAAACATTTCGTCACTACACGTGTGTATTTCTTTTAAATAAAAAATAAATACAAATAAGACAGTTTTCTCAATAGTTGGAAACGATTAATATTATATAAGATCTAACCAGATTGTTCCTAAGTTATTGTTTTGTTTTTTGTTTTTAAACTCGGATCGTGAATCAGACACAGTGTGCTATCGAAGAACGCTGATCGGTATTACGTTATATCGGTATTGCAAACCGGTTTCGTGCTAAAAAAAAAAACAAATTGTAACAAAATTATTTATAGCATTTTCTTGGAATCGTAAAATCGCAGTTAAACAATTACGCTGTCGTAACGTGACAATTGTAATAAAGCACATACCGCTAATTTCTAACCTCGTTTTTTAAATAATCAAAAAAACCGTGATTTCCGTGAGAACAAAGTTCTTTATTCACAAAAGAAGCAAGCGCAGTATATGTTTATTGTTTTTTACTATGAGGAAACGCCAATCTTTTAGTTTACAAACTATTATACCTATCTTGTTTGTTCTATCAGAGAAGACAGTCGCAAGAAAGACAAGAATTGATCTATTTTGAATTCCCGATTCTGATCTAGCACTCCGCGTTCCTAAATTATCACATTTAATTCGCGCGCAACCGAAGCGTTCGCAAAGTCGTGCAATAAAATGAGACAAAATCTTTCGAGGAATATTTTATACAAGTATACATACATCATGTCGTATCTCGTCTTAATCAATCCCGTCTCTGAGCAACACGAGAGAGAATTGAAATGTAGATTCTCGATTCTCTCTCCAAGGACTACGTATTATACATATATTATACAGCATAGCGGTAAGGACTCGATAGCCGCGCGAAATGAGAGCGCAGTCGCGAGACGTTAAATCGGCGCGTAATTGAATTGCACCAGTTGACCGGGGGAGCACTTTGATCTTTCTTCAAATTGAATTCGCGGTTAATACAATTAACCTACATCAAATGAGGTGCCTTTGTATGCGCGACAGACTCGGATGTTTTTCTTTACACGTACGTGATTACGATTATTTAAAAAAAAAAAAAATAAAACTCCTAATGGAAAGACATACGCGCGCGTAACGTGATGTACAAGAAACTTCAGATATGTTTGTTGCAAATAAAAAACTTTCTCTCAAAAATATACTGTTTTATATTTTTAGGTAAAATCGGACTGTTTTACTTGGTATTCTACGGCGTTTTAGCAGCGCTTGTTGCCATTTGTTTTTGGGGTTTCTTTCAAACGCTCGATCCAAGAGTACCACGGTGGCAGCTCGACAGGTCCATCATTGGAACAAATCCAGGCAAGGTTCATCTTTTACTTGTATTTTTCAAATAAAAAAGTATCACAAATAAATAACATTGTCTATTTAATTGTAGTGTTTGAATTTTCTGATATTTTTGTTGGGAAATAAAGATAAGAGAAAGTGATTGGTGTATTTTTCAAACAAATTCTTTTAAAGTTGACGTTTATGTTTCACAGGACTAGGATTCAGGCCGATGCCACCGACGGAGAATGTTGAGAGCACCTTGATTTGGTACAAAGGTACCGATAGCGAAAACTTCAAACACTGGGTTGATTCACTTCAAATTTTTTTAAAAGGTAAATTAATTTTTTTTCTACAAACAGAGAAAAAACTTCATATCTCATTTGAGATATTTTATATATATCTCAGGTCACGCTTCAAATTCTTGTAATCTAATTTCCGAATATTGTTAAATATAAGTTGAGAAGAAAACTCTCGAATTTGCATCAGAAAACATTTTGTTTCATTATTTTCCTTGTCACTTTTCAGATTATATAACACCTGGATCTGTTCTGGGTCTCGGTGCTAACATCAACAAATGCGATTACAATCAGCCACCGCCGCCTGGAAAAGTCTGCGACGTCGACGTGAAAAACTGGCATCCGTGCACCAAGGAAAACAAATACAACTATCACAAGTCCGCCCCCTGCATTTTTCTCAAGCTGAACAAGGTACTCGCTTATATACGAAATATAGATTCAATTTGATTTTATCGCACTGTAAGGTAGCTTGTGTAACATATTCTTTTTTTTTATAATATCTTTATTTGTCAGATTTACGGCTGGAGACCAGATTTTTACAATGATACCGAAAACTTGCCGGAGAAAATGCCACTTGATCTCAAGGAGCACATCGCGAGTCTAAAAGGAAACAATTCTCTACAGCTGAACACAATTTGGGTGTCTTGCGAGGGTGAAAATCCCGCTGATCAGGAGAACATCGGACCAATTAACTACATGCCGCGACGCGGTTTTCCCGGTTATTTTTATCCTTACGAAAATTCCGAGGGTTACTTAAGCCCGTTGGTTGCAGTACACTTTGTCAGACCGCGAAGTAAGTATGAAATATATATCACAACATATCGATGTAAAAATGGATACACGTGAATTGCATCACGTTGTTCATGTTTGTTTTTAATCTCATTATTTTCTATATATCTGTTTTCTATTGTTTTTCTTTTGTTTTTAGCTGGAATCTTGATAAACGTGGAATGCAAAGCGTGGGCGAAAAATATTAAGCACAGTCGTACCGACAAAATTGGCGCGGTTCACTTCGAGTTGATGATAGATTAACGAAATCTACAAATAGCCTTCGGCTATCCTACGCCGTCTAAACCAAAATTAACGAGTATCCTCGAGATAGCCATTTATCGGGTGAATCTTCACCTTTCCAAAAATAAAATCGCGAACGAACGAAGTTAACGACACGTCAATTTTTCGGACAACATTAAGCGAGCACAAAACCAGAAAGTGCTCCTATGCGATAAACGTTTCTTCGAGATTCTAAACCGTATGTATATTGTGTATCATGTGCCGGGATGAAAATTGCAAACTTTTGAACGGTTGCATTATGTGCGTATGCTGTGGAACGTATGTGAATTGAAAACGAAGCGCGATCAGAATTTTCAGGTGACTCATCATCAGATTACTTTTTATCTAGAACATCTGTCTTCCACACATTGGATCTGCCGTTTGAAACTTGATACATTTTTTTTATAATGTGTGTGTGTATTCGCTATTTTTAAAAAATGTCTAAAGACTATCTACACACTATATTCGCATCACAACACAAATGATTTTATTTGTCGTGTAATTTGTTTATTACCGTTAAATTTTCGAATATTAACTTCGATTTTATTTTTCCTCTTCCACTCGAGATACCGACGACTAACGGCTTACATAATGTTTTCGACTTTCACAGCCGTTTACCAAACAACCGAGTTTTCGCTTCAAAGTCACGACTGTTTTTCCTATCCGTATAACCGGCACACTTCCAGAGAACAAAGCCGGACAACAGAGACAAACCAAAGATACCGAAGCCAAGGACACCTTGTTCCCCGCTCGACACGACAGACAGCTCACGACTCGACAATGACTAGTGTAAATTCAATAAATTATCTCGACACTCCAATTCCAATGCACTAGATCACATAAATCTTTATTACAATAAAATACTTGTTTATGTTACAAATCAGCTGCTCGGTTCGCACGGGCGATACGACCGGCTTCTTATTATATAAGGTTTCGACGCACGGCACGACTGCTCCTTAGCGACCATCTCCTCTGCGAGTTACGCTCGGAGTTCCTCTTCGCCTCGAGTACGAGCACGCTCGCTCCTCGGCTTCTCGAATCCTCGTCCGGCCACGTGCCTTTCGCGTGCACACGGTCTCTCGCAAAAACCACCGCCAACAACGCGTCAACCACAGCCACCCGGTATGTGGCGCCGCGTATCGAATAATCTTACAGTCGTAACTTATAGTTTTTTTTCCATACTATACATGCAACATCAATATTTCTAAACGAGATAAAATTATTATGAAGAGATTATATTATCTTTATTCGAGTTTGTCAAAAATAGATTATGTTAAATCCGCGACAAATTTTGTTGTTAAAAAGACAGCTGATTTGACAAACTGTCATGTCTAAGATTGTCAACGGATTTCAACAGATTTTTAAAAATAAGAACATGACGACGAGAATTGGGTGGCCAGGATCCACAAACAAAATCTTTGTTACTTTTTATGCAAGTAACGTGTGTGTACATTTCAATTTTTTAATATCTTTAAATATCTCTAAAGAAAATACTTTTTGTATACACAAAAAAATTTTTTATAACTATAATAGCTTGTCTTCTCCATCCTCGAAGGATGTTGGAATAATAGTTTTGGTCTAATGTGTGTATGTACACAGAAGGATTAACAAGAAGATTGCCATTAATTTTGTCGATATTTATTGCACATTCGCAGTTTAAAAAAGTTTTCGTGAGAATTATATTTTACTGTTCGTCTTATTTGCATAAGCTTTTAAAAACGAACAACTGGAAGAACAACCGGAATCTCGGATTATAGACGTTCACACGTGCCTTTATCCGCTTATAAGCGCAATTTATTTGTAAAGACCAATATATGATAGAATGTACAAGAATCTCATACACGTGTACGCATATGTGTGCGCGTGCACAAACACAACACACACACCACGCACGTGCACATCTATATGTACACATATTATATTAGCTAGATATAGATGTTTTTTTTTTAATAATCCGGCGTGCGATTTTGACGATTTTTAATATTCTAATGACAAAGTAATTAATATATATATATATATACTCAGGAGTAATCTCTACTATATTTTGTACCTTATATCTTGAAACATCACTATTTTTATCAAGCAAAAAAAAAAGAAAATAAGCGATCTGAAATAAGCGTATAATCCTCGTGAGTAAGAGAAATCTTTGAAATAAAAATGGCAGATATGTGTCAAACAAACATCACATAAAACTTTGAAATGATTTTCACCTTTCCATAATATTGTGTTAACAAAATACTGTGCAATTGAAAGAAAACTTGAACTTTGAACAGATCGATGAGAATATTTATGTATGTACGTTTGATGTGTATAAAGTAGAAATATTATGGCTTAATGTAAGGAGAAGGGAAATGTATCACAAAAGTCAGTTTGATAACAGGAATAGCAACGAAAACAGCACGCAATATTGTATATCTTGTTTTATTTCGATATGTATAAAGATATTAATGTCAATTTGATTTTTTTTTTTTTTCATATAATTGCGATTTTAAATGTATGTAAGAACATCTTTAAGAAATGGCAGCTAGTAAGAGAATAGCTCGTCTAATCATCTTTCTCTCGGTGCAACCTATGTACAGCGGATTGATCTATGTAACGCATTGTAATTAAGTCATAATTAAGTTGTAATTATTTGTGCGCAATTATTCTAGTTAATGTACTCTCATGGAAAGAATCACGCATTTTTTACTTCTTAATTCATTCTCTAATTTCGCTATATTCCACCTAACACACATGTATGTATGTGTTATACATATATATGTGTGTGTATTTAACTAAATACTTTAAACGTAAGTACGCGAATAATTTATCTGGAGAAAAATAAATTCTCAAAATTGTAAAAAAAAGGATTCTATTTATTACATATATGTATATGTGTGGCGGAAAATACCAGGAAGACTATTAAAATCGAAAGACTATTAACCCAGATAGCCAAATGATAGCAGTATGCCAGCAATATGCCACGCAGTTCTAATCAGCACTTCGCAGCAGATTCCACTCAGCTGTGTCCCTAATATGAGTGAAATATGTAGTGACGATATGCAAAGAAAGAAACATAACCAAAATGC